CAGGATCCCCAAAGAGAATTGTACGTTGTTTCCATTGGGGTTCACCTGTTCCCTGTGGGTTTCAATCTCAGCTCCTACAACAGTATTATGTTGTTCGTTAACAAGTTTGTCTTCCCTAATGGACTGGAAGCTATGAGAGGGACTGCCTTATTCATCTTGTTATTTCTCATGCAGTCCCTAGCACATAGGAGGTGCTAAACTCATGTCTGAGAAAGAGGAAAGAGGAAGGGAGAGGGGAACAAGAAATAATTTCTATGATATCATAAGAATCTTACAATTGTGTTATTTTCTATGAGATTACAAAGTTTAGAGAACTAACAATCAAGTTTCTTCCCGGCCTATTGAAGTAAGAAAAGAATTCATAATGCCTATGATTTCACTTTTCTCCATTATGAATCGAAGTAGGATTTAAGAGAATTAGTCATTTTCTGTAGGAGAAGGAGCGTTCTTGCCAAAGGAGATGGCAGCCCACTGGGAAGTAAAGGCCACTTGGCACAAATCCATCTTACTCACTAGAAGCCAATACCAGCTTATACCTACTGCCTCCATTCAGCAGAGAAACTAAACGATGGGAGCTACAGAGCTGATACGAACAGCAGTCAAGGTAATCATTTCGGAACAGTAAACCTCAAACTAAACCCAGAAGCAGGAAGTCAAGAAAAGCAGAGAGAAACATCTGGGTAGAGTACACCTCAAACCAATGACACCTGTGATCTTAGATTTCTCTTCTGTGTCTGCTATTTTTCTATTCTTGGGATATCTTTCATCATGGATATTCTCATTGCAGTGCTTCACTGAAGTTTAGCTCAGCCATTATTGCATTCTGACCCATATTTATATGACAGTACAAGAACTTCTTGCAGAGGCTGCTAAACCACAGAGGCTGCACTCTATTGTAGTTTGGGCCAATGTCCTGACAGGGATCTTTGAAGCCCTGTACCATCATCTGAGTTGTGTGTATCTTTGCCCCATCTTGGGTAGAAAAGGTATCTCCAGACTTGACCATTACAACTACATTTCCCTTACACAATCTCTAGTATAAAACTAAAAATGCACATTACAGTTAGTTCAATGCTCTTTTACCAACGTGAGTGTGCATACTCTGACTTGAGAGCTGTTCGTTGCTTCCAGCCCTTAGTACAGTTACCAGCAGGTGGTGTGGGTTCCATCAACACTTATTCAACTGAAAGGAACTGTTGGGATGGAATTGATGGAAAGATTTCTAAATTAGGCAAGCAGTGTTAATCTTCCTTCATACATTTTTTTTCAATTTGAAAAGGCCGCTGATTTTGTTGTTGGAGAATAATTGAAAATGTGAAAATTACGTTTGAGGAAATCTATACAGCTGTTGATTTTTGAGACTGAATTTTTCCAGCCAACACACTAAATTAATTGTGAGATCTCCTTTCTTCAAGAAATAAGTTAATGATCTTGGACAGACAAACTAAGCAAAACAAAATGTAAGTTCATAGAAGCTTACTGATATCGTTCAGAGCATAGCATTACCCAAACCTGCTAAGAGGATGCCTCTTTTTGCAGCCTCAGAAAAAAGATAAACAAATATTGACCGTGTGTTCTGAGTTTCAAAAGAAAAATCGAAATAGGTAAAGAAAAGCTCAGGGTGCCGTGATTTTGACAGATTTTACTGGTTGGATAAAAACGTCTAGTGTCACATGCTCTGAAAGTATAAAAATTAAGAAGTGGTTTCTTCTGGGTGAGATAGGGTAAAGAAAAATAAGAAAAGTCTTCTTTCTCAAACACTTCTACGGTCGTAAAGTTGGAATAGAAAAGAGACATGAAATATTTGACTAAAAACGGTCATCTTTTAGGTTAGCATGCTTTCTCCTAAAAAAAAATACCAAAACCCACATTTTGTTAATTTTTTCATATTATTTTAACTAAGCAGCTAATTTTATTATTTCCAAACTATTTTACACAGTGCCATATATTAGAAAGCACCTGGGTGCTAAAGGTCATGTTCCCTGCATCAGTCATTAACTATCAATGGCTTATGCCATCTGCTAGTTTTCATGTTCTAGAATCAGTAGCACAGTAAATATGGAGATTTTCTTAGATTAAGCAATATGTTCTTTGGTCTATTATCAGTCTTTAGAAGAACTAAATGAGATTGATGATATACCTATGTTGGGCATGCTTGATACCTGGATAGTTTGGGCTCATAAATTTAAAGTTTCAAGGTAAGTGTACTTGGTATACCTACACCAGCTGGAAAATTCCAATAGTGTCTAGGGACAGAGCCTAGACCAGATGCTTAGGGCTTGTGAGAGGTTTAAATGTCAAAATATTTAAGCATTAAAAAATCCTGTTAGGTAAGGAACTTCAAAACCTGTCAAAACTACACTGCCAATGGCTCTGTAATAAAACATGTCCCTGAGTACAGAGTGGAGGCAAGAAAGAGCTAAAGGTTTTACAACTGCAAGGAAGGATGTTTCTACTGAGACACAAGCAGCAGTTATAAAAAGCGTCTATCACCTAGTATACAACTGGCCAAATAGAACTTGTCCCTGATTTGGATATTTCAGACTTCTAAGTCTTAATTTAATATAACGGGAGTTAGTTCCTATTACCAAGAAGGCTATAACTGAATTCTGGGAATGAGCAAAAGTTATTCATACCTGCAATGAACATTATCTTATACTTACTTTATGTCAAGTACTTTACAGTATTTCTAAGAAGACACATGTCTTTTTGGACCAGATATAGTGCAAATATGCTACCACAACCAGTTTGGCATATTGATGTTGCAAATATCAAAACAACCCTACCAAATCTCTAAAAAGAAGGTTTTTAAGCAGCTAATAACCTAGAAAAATGAACAACAGTTAGAGATCTAACAGGATTACAAATAAATGAAAATCCAAGTTAAAGAAGAATGAGGAATGCGTGGAAACCAGCCAGAGATCTGAAGCCAGAGCACCGAAAGATCAAACAATTCTTTTCTAAAAGGAGAGGAAAAAAAAGTATAGTTGAAAGGTTAAATAAAAACAGAAAAATTGTTCTTTCCAAAGAAAGTTAAATATATATAAGAGAAAGCAAAGGATGATAGGAAAAGTAAGTATGCCCTAAATTTTTTTCCCCAATGCCAAGAAAATATCTAAAGTAAATTTCTGATTGGTGTGTATTATATAAACACATGTGCAAAGGTGTATTCAGAAAAGCTGGTTTAATATATAAATGTTAGTTCACGGGTTCTCAGTTTCAGGGAGTATATCAGACCCACTCAAGTGTTTTTTTGGAGAAAATGTCCTTCTCACCCCATCCCCACCGGAGGAGGATTCATGATCTGCAGGGGAAGGGGATTCAATGTTGAAAAGTCTCTTCTCAGGATACTGATTTCCTGCCCAGAGATTAGAGCCACATGTTTAGTTGGTGATTTACTGAGTCTGTGAAAAGATCAGAGCACGTGTTTGAGAAAAAAAATTCACCTCTGGAGGATTCTCCTGCTCCTGGGGCGGGAGAAGCTGCCTAACTGGAGAGAGCCCCATCCACATATCAGATTTCTTTGGGACTGATGTCTGCCTCATAGTCAAAGGAACCTTGGAATGAGGGAGGGTATAGTATAGCAAGAAGGGGAAGGAGGTTAGTTCCAAGACTTTGGCAAATGAAAGGGAACATTTCTGCAGGTTTGGAGCCAATATCACAAAGATCTTGGTATATTCCAGAAGAGAATTTCCTATTCTCTGCATAGATTTCTTTTCTTTACTTTTTACTGGAGAAGGACCTAAAAAGATCAAATAAGGCTGAGAACCGGAACTCAGAAGGGGTTTTCTTGGCTTGAGAGAAAAGGGCAGGAGGAAGAGTTAAGGCTGAGAGCTGTCTGTATGTCAGTGTTCAGGCCACCAGCCAACGAGAAGTGAAAGGGCCGCTGTGGGTGTCATTTCTCCAGTCTTACTGGCTCTGCAGAAGGGACTGGGCTCTGGGGGTCTGTGAGGGAGGGTTAGGTGGTGAATGGCATCTGTATAATCAGTCATATATTTCAACTCTGGAGGAGCATGGGTAGGGACTTAGTGAAGAGCCAAGAATGGCTGCTGTCTAAGGACGCCATCTAGGAGTTTCACCCCTGTAGATAACTCCTTTTGCAGGGTCAGTGCTTCAGCACAGAGGTGGGGAGGAGGAAAGCACTGGAGGGGGTAATGGGAGGGAGGAGCCTTGGTGGCCTCTCCTGTGTTGGAGCATCTAAGGTTGGAGTGTGCGAATCCTGCCTCTTTCCCGGCTGCTCAGGGCCAAGGGGGTCTGGTTATAGGCTCACTTCAGGAACGGTCTACCTTATGCACTCTTCTGCCACCAACCCCCAAGTCATCGCAGAAAAATGACCCCCCTGCTCTTAGCTCTGGCCTTCAATGTGGGGCATGTAGTTAGTCACCAAGTGTTCACAATTGCCCTTTTCCTGTTTCCTGTTTGCACTGACCAAACCTGAGCCAGTCTCCTCTCCTCCCCATGGGACTCTGAACTGTGTGCTTGCCCCCAAATCTGAGCAAGCACTAAAATGCAGAGCATGCTTCCTTGTCAGCTTATTCCCCAGATCCGTGGACCACAGAGACACATTTCTCATCAAACCAGGTCTTCTGGCCAGCTTTCCCTTACTGCTTACCCCCCTACCACGTAAAAAAGCCAATTTCTGTTTGGTTTTGAGATGCTTACGGCTGTCTGAGATCAGAGCGTTCTCCCTATTGCAAGTCCTTTCTAATTAAAGTGTCTCTCTATCTAAGTCTGTATTTTTTTTTTTTTTTGGTTTGACGTTAGTATGTAGCTAAGAGTGATCCCGGGTAAGTCTGAGCCCCCGCTGGTGGGGAATGAAGTCTTGGGGCCGGGAGCATTTGTCTTTCTCTTGGGAAAGGCAAGGAGGCCTGAAAGGCACAGCGCTCTCTTGAACTTCAACTTTGCAAAGGAGAACGAATTTCTAAATGAGGAGGTTCAAGGCTTGCGCTGTAGGGGCCGCTGGCTGGGCAAGGCAATTGTTGGTTGAAAAACACAGTTGCGATCTCGGCTTGGGGCGAGGGGTGTGCTTTGGAACGGTGTGGGGGAGGAGAATGAGGAGTGAGGGATGGGACGGGCGGAGGCACGAGTGGAAGGTACGTGAAGAGTTACTAGAAACCGTGCTTCTGTGGGCGAGTTGGGGGTCGGGGAGGTGAAGGGTGGTCTCAGAGCCTCAGCGCCCCGAGGTCGTGGAGCGGCGGCAGCAGCGGCCAGAGCAGCAGCAGCAACAGCGAGAGGGACGGAGTTAGGACCGCTCGGAGCGCCCAGGTCTCGAGGTAGTATAAGGTTTGCAATCCTTCCACTTGCTGGCAGTTGCAGAAGAAGATCTGCTTTTAAGTGAAACGTACATGCCACCCCTGCGAGGGCTGCGGCTTCCCCGGCTTGCTGCTTTCTTTCTCCCTTCTCCGGCCCTCGCGCTCACTCTTTGATTTGTACGCTCCCTTAAGTTTGCCGAGAGCTCGCTGCCCGCTCGGAGCAGGGTCCGGCCAGGCGCCGCGGGCGGGGGCGGGGAGCCCTGGAACCGCAATCCAGAAGCATCGTGGGGCCATGTATATTTCATCAAATGGACTTTGGGTGCGTCGCGTCTCGAAGCCATCAACGCTATGTGCAGTGACATTTCTGACTTGAGTGGAGGAATGCGCGAAGGAAGCCCGGGCGAAATTGGTACAGGAGGATCTTCTTGGCGCCAATGCTAATTGTCCTGATTTATGTCCCTTCTGACTAAGCTCAACGTCTTCATCTGAAATAAAATGAAAGCTGTGCCAAGCGGGGTAGAACCGCCGGGCCGCTGGTTCTGAACCCCGGGAATCAGGAAATCGTCCTGCAGCTTAAAAAATTAAAAAAAAAAGGGGGGGGGGAATAGAGGAAAAAATAGAAACAGAAAAAAAAAATCCCTCAGTAAAAGTTTAAGGCGAGAAGTGGCAGAGGCAGTGGCGCGAGGAGGCGCGGAGGAGAGCCGGCAAGCGGGGGACAGGGCGGGCAAGACCTCCCGAAGGCTGCGATTTCATTATTAATATCACTATATTTTTGGAGGGAGAGGCACCTTTCTCGTCCTCTCTTCCTCTCCGCCCACCCCTATTCCCTCCCCCTCATCTACCTGTCAAAGTCACTGATCTTTTGCATTTCGGAAGAGGACGTCAACGGGAAGGAATCCCCCCTCTTGGTGCCGGCTCCGAGAGGGGGCGACGCGCAGGAGGCACCCCCCCAGGGGCCGGAGGCGAAGGTAATTAAGCGGCGGGGAGTGGCGGGCCGGCGCGGGGCTCGTGGTCCGCAGGGTCCTCTCCCGCGGCGCGCCGGGCGCGATCCGGACCCCGGGGC